ACACTAGACACACGGTTTTATTTGAACACTTTATTATGACATCGTAAAGTGATGAATAAAAACACTAAACACATGGTTTTATTCGTAGGCCTAGAGGCTTGGTCTAGCCTAGCTAGGTAACATCGTTCCTTCATACATGCGTATATTGAGCGTTACGTACGTATTAGGTCAAAGGTTACCACAAAATTAACCCAACCTCTATTTTACGAATCCCCCGATTTACGTATGCCCTCCGGTCCCGTAAAGTACATAAAATCGAGGTTCTACTGTATATAAAAAATTGCAAAATAGTAGCTCTCTGCTAACTATAGCTAGGCCTCTGTCCGTAATTTATAGCAAATTAGTCAAAAAACATTGATATAATTTGTATTAAAAGCACCGGGCTTATTATTTATTTAAGTCAAGGTATTTTTGTATAAATTTAAAAAAGAAACTGTTCCTATTTTTTCGACATTCCTGACTTCCAAACATGTGGTTTTGGTACCTGTCTGTAGCATTGAATGATGGGTAATTGCTGATGTCATCTTCTAAAAATAGAGCAGCTTGCTAATAATCGTTTTTGTTTTTTTTTTGACAGTGAAAAACAAATAATTAATACAGATGCTTATTGAACATCCGAACAGTGATTTATTCTTAAAAGGATAAAAGGTTGATGTTACCATACATTTATACTCGGACTAGCTGATTTGATTTACAGTGCATTTAAACCGCAGTTAACCATAGACAGAGTAGGGTAGGCCCCCTGGTATACGCTGCCCAGCCTTGCCCTTAGCCCAGACAAGGTAGGCCTAGCAGCATGCACTGCCTGCCTGAATTTCGCCTAGGGCCTAGTTTTGATTATTTTACATCATGTATTGGTTTGACTGTTCTAAGCCTAAAGTAGTACTGTATGATGTATTTATGGAATGACTGTATAACTACTAATATAATGCAATTTTTAATGACATTTTGTAATTCGTTTTTCTTTAAAAAAAATAAAAACAGCATATAAAATAAGATGAGTAAATCGAGCGATGACGTCATCGGCCAAACGTTCGTAAAATAGAAGGTTCGTAAATGAGAAGTTCGACTGTACTGAACATGATTTCATTACTTTTTATTTACTGTATTGTGTCCTGTAAATATTTGTTTTTACATGCGAGATTGTGGCTGCAATGCAACAAGTTTCTTTTGAATCCTTTTTTTTTATTGCCTCAAATTTATTGCAAATGAGCACAAGTAGACTAGGCCTAGCCTAGTGATCGTATTCAAATTCAGGGATGTACAGTTAGGCCTAGGCTAGGCGAGTTATTGTGGGTACTGTATTGAATGAAAGCCATTGTTGATATCCAATATTGGCCCTATACTTCAATCCAATCTTCAACTTATAAGGCCCATTATAGTAAGTCTCTAGGTGCGGTGTGTTGTCTAGGCCTACGTAAACACTATGAACATGAATGAAGTCGGAGAAAAATAAATGGTAGGGCCTATTGCAACTTACCCTTCCCCATCTGACATTATGAATTGAGAGGACGTCCTCGCTGTGAACAGAACACAAACACATTAAAAATACATAGCTATAACATTTTAAAATATATTTAAAATGTTGGTGATATTGTTTATTAGTCGAAAATACTACCGATTTAGGGAGATTTTAAGGATTTTTTAGAGCTAACTCACATGTACGCAAACCGAACTTAAGAAGTAATTTCTTGAAAGAGGGCGTATTTCTGTCAACTTCGACCGACAAACATCTAAAATTGTTTTCTATTTTGTATTTACCTCTCCAAATTGAACAATAAAATACATATAAAATATTATAAATATAGTATAAAATTATTGTATCATCTCATATTATTAAACAAATGCTATAATAATAATTTTATTTTCTAGACAAAGCTCAATATGACAAACATAAATCTATTTTATTAAGATAGTGACGTCATAAAATGACCCTAAACAAGGAAATTAGGTTTAAAGTTGAAAGTTGATTGAAAGCTATCTCCGTAAAAAATAATTGAAAAGACAAATTTATTACTTCTGAAAGGTTACCTTACTAAGCATAGGTGCCTATGATGTTATAATATGTTACTGTGACATTGATTTATGTATTCTTACCAGAGAGTAGTTGTACGTTCTTTCGTTATTCATTTTTGATTGCTTTTTAAGTAGTACTAGCGGCACAAGGCTAGGCTAGGCCTAGTTAGGCCTGGCCTATCTATCTAGTAGTAGGCCCTAGGCTAGCTAGCCTAGCCCTAGGTCAGGCCTAGGCCCGGCCCTAGTAGTAAAGTAGCCCAAGGCCCCTAGCTGGCCTAGGCCCTTTAGGCTAGTACTAGTTCGGTCTAGTAGTAGCTAGGCCTGCTAGTAATAATACTCTTATAGTAAGTGGCTAGGAGTAGGCCTACCCCTTGGTTGGACCTAGCTAGGCCCAACCAAGCAACCCCTACCCCAAGGGTAGGCTATGGAGCCTATGCTTACCCAGGTAAGCATAGCCTACCCTTTTAATAGACCCAGATTTTTTACACTAAATTTTTTTTTTCATGTCATCACGCTAGAAATAATACTGGTAAATTATAAAATCAAACTTCAACCAAACAAAATCAAATTATATACTACTACTACTGTTAGTAGGCCTACTGGGCCATTTTTAAGTAAATATATTTTCCCCTTTCATTCACGTCACTGTCTCAATCATCTACAAAACGAAATCAACAAATTGTATATGATCGATTGATTGATAATTGATTGATTTTATTCAGTACCATTACATACAAAAAATACAAAGCAAACAAAGACAGGGAAGACAAGGACATGGTACTAAGGATGACCCAAGAAAGGTAAAAAAGAAACCTTATTTCCGTTGGAGTCCTTATATGTACAAGCAAATACAAAACATAGAAGTAAAAACACAGCAGGATAAAAAAAAACGACAAAACCGAAAAAAAAGAGTGGTAAAATGAACTATAAAAACATACGAATGACAAATCCTACATGTATTTAAGCTACAGTACAGTATAAAAAACGGCAAAACTGAACAAAGAGGGGTAAAATGAACTAAAAACATATGAATGAAAAATTCTACATGTACTGTATAAGCTACAGTATAATGTTAACGGTTAGCAGTTAACCCTGTATGATCGAGTAACTCCGGTATAGAGGAATGATGGGATCAGTCATAAGCTAAAGATAAAAATGAAAAGCAAGTATACGAAATGTGATGCCATACCATTTACAAGGACACAGAAAGCTAGGTAACACACCTGTCCTAGAAAGTGCACTAAAAATTCACTACAGTAAACAACACCAAACATTTCCTGATAACCGAATCCTCATGTGGATACTTTATTAGTAAATATACAGGTAATACCGTAAGGTAGCATAGGGCATACAGTAGACACGCTCCTGTTTTGAGCCTACTTTTTTACACTTACAGTATACAGTTTTTCAAACTACAGTACATTTGTTATTCATGTCATCATGCAAAAAAAAAAAAAAAAAAGGCCAAAAACCAAACACATCAACAAAGTCAGTATACTATACAGTAAAAAGGGTCCACATACAGTATTTTCAAATTAATGCAAAATTTGTATTTAATAAAAATAACAACACATTAATAAATTCTTTAATTTAACTGTACATATGTTTTCCTTTTACATCAAACAATTAACAATTATCAACCAACAAAATCAAATTGTATAATATTAAACATTTTCTACAGGATCTTTAAAAAAATATAGTTATAATTTTCTTTTTTTAATATGTAATGTTTTTTGTTAACTGTCGTATTCTGTTGGATTATGAGAAGAGTTGTTTCACCACCAACCAACCATAGGCGAGCATGCCGTTCGAACCAGCGCCTATATTATGGCTGTATGACACGGTTCCTCTGTCTTAACCGCCAGCACAATCGACTCGAAGAGTTTTAAGAGAATAACAAAATAATACGAATGTGATGTGATATTTTTTCGATATATTCTTTTAAAAATCAAACTAAGACAGGTTAAATTCGTTTTGATTATTTTTTTCTTTAAAAAAAACTTAAATAGCCGTCTCCAGTAGGGTTTTGCGAGGCTGTCAGTATCCTAATTTAATGAATCCACGTTCTTCCCACTAGCAGCTGTTGTGTATTTGGCAGCCTCTTTGTTCCATGCTTTTGGCTTGGCGGCCAAATTAAGCAGCGGCTGAAATGATCGAACACTGAAACAGGAGAGTCAGACCTACTGTAGCTGCAATAGACCTACAGTACTGTACGTACAACTAACGGTTGGCCTAGCTCTAGGTAGGATGGCCTAGGCTAAGTAAGTGGCCTCCCCTAGCTAGGCCACTCCTACAACAGTGACTAGCTAGCTAATAATAATAATAATTAGGTTTTTATAGCGCTCTATACTGTACAACTAAGTCTTATGACGCTTTTCCACATTATTACCCTAGTCATTGGACCGATGCCTATAAGGAAAATTCCATAGTTTGCTTCATGTGCATTTTGCACTCGAACCTCCTTAGGAACCCACTTATTCCAGGAGAGAAGCAATGCAGATAAAGTGCCTTGCTCAAGGACACAAGCGAAATGCACTTAGCGAGGGATAACGAAATGAGATACAGAGTTAAAAACTGTTGGAAAAGGGGCGTAACCACCCCTCTTTTATACCTTCTCCCCTAGTTTTTAAATATTCAAAAATCTGTATCTTGCTAGCCGTTCCTGATTTTTTCTTTAACATCTTTTTTCTGTCTTAAAAAAACCAGTTCTACAGTAAACCATATCAAAAAATATTTTTCCTCCGGAGCCTGACTTTTAAAATAAACAAGATATTAAAGTTTTTTTTTTTGTTTTTTTTTGTCGTATTAAAGTTGAATGAATTTTTCATATTTTTTGTGCTTTGCAAATGTGATACAATAAAAAAAAAAATAAGTGTCCCCTTAAATTTTTAATTTGTTAAGCTTTAGAATTACGCTTGTTTCTTGTATTGTATGTTTTGGCTGGCCTAGAGGCTTTCCTTGGCGAATTGTTAAAAACATGTTGTTTGCCATTCCCACAGTCATTTTTTTTTTCCTTTTTTAGTCACTACCCATATTATACAGTTCAACTTGCTAAGTCAAATCCAAAATGGCATTAAAAAATTGTTTGACTACATAAAATTCGACTTACAGGTTGTTAGTTAATCAAATACAATTTGGCATGTAAAGTATCTACTTTGAAATTATTTGAGTTAGGCAAAATCAACTTAGTCAAGTTTTAAATCAACTTAGTCAAGTTTTACTGTATTGTAATTATAAGTATTTAGGATAAGGTCATTTGTCATAATTGAGATTAAAATTGTAATGATCAAAAGCACAATTTTTTCCAGGTCTGCAAATAAATGTATGCTACTAATAACCATAAAATATAAATCAATAGCCATCAGTGGCGTATCTAGAAGTCTTGAATTGGGGAGGGGGTGCGCCAAGGTGCCATTGTTTCATATATATATTTAATAATTTTATTAACCAATACAAGTAGACCTACAGTATCTAAAAAGCACAGTGTCTGTGAGGATAAACATTTAAGTTGTTGGTACTGTGTACAATTTCACTTGTAAAATTTAAAGAATCGTCTCACTGTCTGCCCAATCACCACCAGAAGGACCCCACTAGAAATAAGTCTATTGACTTTGTGGGTTTATCCTTGGCGAACCCACCAAATAAATCTAACTCAATTAAATGTACGAGCAGTACAGTATGAAAGTAAGAGGATGATCCAATTCTGTACAGCTATCCAATAAGGGTGTGCCATTGGTGAGCCCTGTAGACAGTAACAGAATTTAATATTAGGCTATAACATTAACGTTTATAACATTTTATCTCATAAATATTATAAAGATTATTTTATATTTCAGGTTTAAAAGATATCAAGTCACTTGTCTGCGAGGGTGTCTTGCTGATGACATCATGAAGTCGATTGGTGAAAACAACTATGGATTCCAAGTTTTTAACAGTAAAAAGAAAATATTGCTTCTGATTCTGATTATCTGTGGTTCTGTTCTCATCTGTCTTCTGATGTTTGGTCAAGATGTATCTTTACAGAAAGTTATCTGCTACCTTAAGCCTGAACAACAACGCAACATGCTGGCTACGTACAGGATGAAACAGCCTGATCGATTCTTGGATGAACGACCTGAAGATGGTCATCCGAAAGGAATGAAGCGAAGGCTTCCTCAAGCTATAATCATTGGTGTCCGAAAAGGTGGGACGCGTGCATTGCTAGAACTCATTGGAATACATCCAGATGTTGCTAAATGTGGAACCGAGGTGCATTTTTTTGATAAGAATGAAAACTACCGACTTGGTGTGGAGTGGTATCGTCGTAAAATGCCTTACTCTTACCCCCATCAGGTGACGATCGAAAAGAGCCCTGCATACTTCATCACAGAGGAAGCTCCCGGCAGAATTCACCAGATGAACGCCTCAATGAAATTGATCGTAATTGTGCGGGAACCGGTTTTGCGTGTTATCTCCGACTACACCCAAATTCATGAATTAAAAGTTGTAAGAGAACGCAAGCACGAAACATTTGAGGATCTGGTAATTAGAAATGGGGACATAAACACATCATACAAAGCAATCCGAATAAGTATGTACTCAAAATATATTAATCGATGGAAACAATATTTTAACATGAATCAAATACTAATTGTGGATGGTGATGCACTTATCAAAAATCCATTACCAGAGTTAAAACATGTTGAGAGATTTCTTGGTTTATATGATTACATCTCAGATAAAAACTTATACCTCAACAAAACAAAGGGTTTCTATTGTATGAGAAGGGAAGATGGATCAAGTAAATGTCTGTCAAATAGTAAAGGACGCAAGCATCCTGATATAGACCCAATTGTAATAGAACGACTTAACAAATTCTACCAGCCCTACAATGAGAAATTTTATGAGGTAGTTGGCCGTACGTTCAACTGGCCGTGAAGACCAAGAATGATTTTTTTAATTATTAATATACATACAGTATAATAAGATGAAGCTTGCTTTATGTGATTTTTCTATGATTTATTATTTTTCATGAAATATCAATTTTGATAGCTTTTGGTTGAAATATAAATGAATTTTATACTGTGTTGAGGGCTTTCGACCTTTGAATGCTATTCAAGAGTAAAATGATAAATATGGGCCAAAAATATTATTACTTCAGCTCTTAAAAGTGTACTGTAAAATTCATGTTTATTGCAAAACATGTTAAAAAAAACAAACATGGTAACAGTATCTCAGTGTCACTTATAATTCCATGGTGACTCAGAGCTCTCATCTGTCAGTATCTGTATATTAATTATTATTATTATTATTGTTATTGTTATTATTATAATTATTATCACTATTGCTGCACTTGTGTGTGCTGTACTTTATTTTGTATTGGTGCTTGCGTATACATACTTCAATACAGCCAACCACACGATGCTGAGCTCATTTTAAGTATGCATTGGAGAATGAATTATTTAAATGCAAGCCAGCTAAAAATATGAAAGGTTGTTTACAGGAGATTAAAGTATACAGTTTTTATTGATGATAATACTGTAACCTCATTGTTTTCAATATTGACCGGAACTTTCCTGTTACATTTATCCAACAAAACTTTTGTTTAAGAAACATACAGTAGTTCAATTATATCTATTTTTGTTTTTTGTATGATCCATAGTATTTAAAAATGTTACTACAACCTGGCATTCTGTTTGGTGATTTTTTTCCATAAAAGTTCTTCATCTTTCTTTAAATACTGTGCAGAACCTCTGTTAATAGTCAATTTATTAAGTGGCAGCACACATAATAGATTAGTACATTTTATATAGCATGATTTTCAGTGTCATTTAAAAAAAATCACAGATCAAACTTGGGGTTAGTATTAGCAATTTTTAAAATCCTATGGGTTATTTAGAAACACAAATTACAGCTACAGCTATGTACACAGTATGTCTAGCTGAGCCTTACCTTTTTAGTATTCAGGTGTGTGTGGTAAAGAAATACTGTAGTGTTGATATTGATGCAAAAGATGATTTTACAAAAGCATTACTATCAAAGAATAAGAAGTTTGTGTAAAAATACAGTAGAAACCTTTCTGAGTGTATGTTCCCATGTCTTTGATAAAGTTTTGTGTACATTAATTAGTACAGTAGATATATTGTAAATCATGCCTCCCTAATTACAATGTTTATATTTTATATTTCAGTATTTATTTTATAAAAAGAATAATGTACATAGTTAAATAAGCGTCTGTATCAAATATTTACCCCTCTAAAGTAACTGTAAGCACTGCAACAAACAAAATTGTGTTTTTATGGTTGTGCCTCTACAGTGGAATTCTTCATTTTTGAATGAACTCTTCATTCTTCATTGAAAAGCTATCAACTTTGAAGTAGAAAAATAATATGTTAGCCTGAATTGCAAACCATTATTGACAAACATGTCAAGTGGTTTAAGAACTTAAGTAATATCCCCATCATACATAGTTCCTTTATGAATTGCATAAATTCATTTTATTCTCTATTACTGTATACTGTAGTTCATTTTATTCTCTATTATTATTTTTGCATGAAACTACACACATTCCTTCATACTGGAAACATGTTGTTTTAATGACTTTTATGGGCTATCCTTGTATACAAACAGCATTATTTTGTTATGTGAAATTTCCTAATTTTCGAGATAGGACTTTTTATATTTTAATATTTTAGAAAATTCCCTTAAATGTATTGTGTCCCTGATGTTGTTGCTAACTGAATAAAGTCAATTTAAGTTCGTCAGATACATTAAAAAAAAAAAAAAATCCTGTTGATAAATGTAGAATATAAGGAGATTTTTTCCCATTTATTTCTTAATGTACCTGATAACTAATCTTAAAGATGAAAAATTCAATAACTCTATTTACTTTTTTGTATACTGTAGTTTCCACCGAATAATACATGTTTAAGGTTGTAATTTTGTTAATTGGATTATGTCTGTTGTACGTTATTCTGAATCTTAATATTTTACATTTTTTTTATATTCTCTCTTCTTTTGATGCTCTATTTTACATTTGTTTACCATACAGTATATGCTATTAAACATATTTTTGTACCGGAAGTGGCTATGGGCACTGATGCAGTGTGGTAATAACTGGTGTTTGCTATCGGCACTGCTGCAGTGCAAAATAAGCTGCTGTTTTCTATCCACTGATGGTTTAAAGTTGAGAATTATTAGTCATAGAGCTCCCACTGTAATCAGCCTAGATTGTTTTCCCCTTCCCAGTCATAATCTCCATATTGTTCAAGTGCGTAATTTTGCACAGAGGAGTTATTTCCTTAAATTCCTATGGTGATACAATGTGGAATATTGCGTATTTTTATTAACTATATGTAATCCGGCCGTTGTTCTAATCCGTCGTTTAAATACCATATTTATTCAAATAAATGCCTCCTTCAAATAAACAATCTTAAGCGTTTGAATTGCATTGGTTGTGAAAAAATAAGTCTTTATGATCACAAAATAACCCATTTTGAAGGTCATTATGTTCCACATTTACAGTCAAATTAGGGCCGTTTATTTGAGTATACGTATCCATTTTAAACCAAAAAAGATAAATAAAATGTCTGCATTGAATAAACTTCACCCTAAAAAAAAAACCCTTCTTAAAATTAAATATGCTATGTATTTAATTTTCATGGTCCTTTCAAAAAAATTACAGTATTGGTTATATTATATAACCAATATATATAAAATACAGGATGTTTAGGTTTAGGTTTATGTTTCTAAAAATAAACACTGACCCTGATTTCAATGATAAGTTGTAATTATGACATGATGATGGATATAAAATAGTGAACACTAAAATATCAATACACAAGTGAATTAAAAATATTATTAATTGTTTTTATCATCCATTTTGTTTTAATTGTTAAGTGTTGCCTTTTCATAAACTAAACATATTCTGGTCAATGCATTTCTATAGTAATAATAAAAAACAAATACACAAAGCGAAATATTATATTAGGGCTATTATGTCAATTGTATTACAGTATTTACACCCCTGCAGCTCAACCTTATGGTCGCGACCCAAATTTGGGTCGCCGTAACATTTCTGAGGGTTGTGAGATTACTCAAACATAGTGGAAAATACTACTGCATAGCGGCCAGTCCATAGTGCCTATGAAGAAGAAAGCTAGAAATTATCGTCAATCCAAAACGTACATTTAATTTTTTTTTTCTTTTCTGGCAAAGCCACATTTATCCACAACATTATTTAAAAACATTCACATAAGTACTATTGTATAAATATAACACGTACTTATTTTCATTTCCTTCTTAATTTTTAAGAAATAATTTATTTTCACTCAAAAATCTTAGATTTGTTTTTCAATTCACATCTTTACAGTTCCTTAATAAAACAAAACTTGAAATTTATAAATTTAATTTCAGGCAGAGTCGTATTTACGTCTGTTATAACTATTTCACGTATAGCAGCATATATCATATTTTATGTTTATCAACTCTCATGGTTGCACTGTCGCCAATCTCTCCAAGGAAGATAATTAAAATTAGGCAGGAATATACCGCACATTAACAAGATATACCAGTTAATAAACAAAATGTTTAAAATGATTAGTTGCATTCTTTGCTTTTTGAGTTCGTTTAAGCATTTTGACCAGTGGGTGGGGACGTAGGCCTACAAGCTTCTATTTTTTAAATTTATATTTGCCCAGTCAGCCTTACCCAAGTCGACTGTACACTATTCAAAAATTCGTCATTGTTTTTAACATTTCCAAAATTATGAGTGTAATAAATATTCTCCACAGTGCCGGATTTAAGGGGGACCCAGCCGCCACCCTCTCACCTAATTTTTTTTTAATATAAAAAATGGAGAAAAAATAAAATTATATTCAAATTAATTTTGAGTCTGAGTACGTCCATTATTTTTTCTTCCCGTTTTCCTGTTTTTTGAACAGGATTTTTTCTGTCGGGCACTTTGGTCACTTCCCGTGCTTGGATCTTCTTTAAACTAAGCAAAGACCATATATCAAAGATGCGCATATGATGTCATCCTGCATGTTTTAAATAATAATAAACGGGTAATTAAACTTGAAAATTTAACGCAATTTGCGTTTTCTAAAGCGCTTTGAACTAGCCACACAAAATTAGACCCAAAAAATGCATGAACAATTTTTGCCCTGAGTTTAACATTACGCAAGGTAGAAAAACCTAAAAAATGCACTGAGCACCTCAGGGTCGGGTTCTTTAGTGTAATGGTAAGACCTCTCAATCTCACTATCGCTGTGTCCACTGCAGCCATTGTTCGAGTCACACTGACGGCGAGTTGATTTTCGTGGTTATTTGTTTAGGCCTATTTCATAATTTTCTTTAGTAGGCCTAGGCCTATGATAATAGACATAGTAAGTAAAGTTTCCTTTTCTTTCCTGTTTTCCTACCTTTTTTAACAGAATTTTTCTGTCCGACACTTTGGTCAGTTTTCGTCCTTTGAACATTGTACAAGCAAAGACCATATCAAAGATGTGCATATTAAATATGACGTCATTCTACATATTTCAACGAGAGCATCAATGATGCAGTAGCCCACTCTGCTTAAGGTTTGTAGTATTTTTTACGTGATGCACCGAAAAATGGAATACCTATGCTTTTATGTCTTTGGGACATGGTTCAGTCATTGTTTGTACTTGCTAGCATTTCAGCAGGCCTTAAGAAATGCTAAACACATAAGAAAGTTTCTCCGAAACGTTTACTCACGATATTTCGAACTTCCAGTACAACATATTTGTGAAGTTTAAACATACGATTAATAATCGAAATGTTTAAACTTCACAAATATGTTGTACTAGAAGTTTGAACGATCTAAGTTAAGGGAACTACATCGTGCAGGTAATAGTCGTACCTGATTGCATGTATGTATAAGCCTATTTCTATCGAGGACGCAACATTTCGCTGTTGCGAGTCAAATCCTACCCCAGTAAAAACATCTAGTTAACAACAAATAATAATTTTCATCAAAGGTAAGTCGACAAATTCTTTAAAATAAGTATTTTGTGTGCTGCTGTAATGATATTTAAAATTTATAACCAAGGCCATCCAAAGAAAAAGCAAACACTTCTGACGATTATGTATACATTCTGTGGCTCCACCCGTTGTAGAGTAAAGGTAATAAACATCGAGTGTTGCAAATGTTTTGTCCTCAAACACGATGGCATATAAGACAACTCGCTCTACAGAGTGGTAAAAAAGTAACATTAACAGGTAATTAAACCAATTATGTTAACGCGTTTTCTAACTAGCTACAGCTGGATCAAACGCAAAATTGCCCTAAATTTATTCTTGATAATATTTTTGTCATTTAACTTTCACTCCGATGAAACTCAGATTAATGTTGCAATGTCAAAAGTTTTGCTGTTATTTATCAAAATGTATCAGAACAAAATGTTCTTTTGTGGATTTTAAAAGCAAACATTATTTTCGTGGTAGGTGTGCTTAAAATCGAATATCAATTTTTAGTATTTTTGTTGATGAAGGTATGGAAAGCCATTAAAATTTATTTCGTTTCTTGAAAAGGGAATCGAATAATGTACTTGTTGAAGAAGTAGCACAGAAAATTAAAAATGTGAATCTCACTTTCTTAAATCGAAACAGAGCTTGGTGTTAGATATTGCCGCGTGTTTTCTTTGCATAAATGTCAGACGTGGTATTACGTCGAACTGTCAGATATACAATCCTAACAGTACTACAAATTTGACCGCTACTTTGGATTTTTCCACTCATCGTCATTTTTCTTATGATTATGATAAAAATAAATTACGTTTTTGGTCATTTTTGTGGACACTAGATTCCCAGTCTTTGTAGGTCTACTGTGAAATGAAATAGTATTTTGAAGTTTGTGTACGGTACTGTACGTCATCATGCACGTAAAAATTTTAGCACCAGAGATTTTGTGAATTATAATTGAGTAAAATTTCATTATTTGCTTATAATTTTACTTCAATGAAATTTTTGAAGAAAAGCAGGAAACTTCTCCTAATTATAATGATCTATGCGCAACGTTCAATGCAATCGATTCTTTGGTTTCAGTGATCCGTTTACATAAAGATTTTTCGGTTGTCCCAGTTGATGATGCTTCCTTGTCATCAACAAGAACTTTTAATATTTTCATCCAAGGCAAACGAGAGTAGTATGTAACAGTTTAACCTAACATCCATTGTCAAACCAACCGAGCGAGTTTTCAGTATGCTAATCACGCTATGTTCGCTTGAGTATATAAACATGGAAATTTCACTTAGAAGTTGTTTCGTTTGGTGAGCGTTAACCAGAACTACAGCAATGATGAAATATGTCGTTCTGTTCGCCACACTTGTGTGTGTTTCGTCTGCCTTTCCTGAATTCACGGCGAATGTATTAAGGCAGCAGTTGTCTGCATTCAGGAGCGGCAATGTCGAATCGAATATAGTTGAATTGGCAAAGACAGTTAATCTCAACACCCTTGTTGAACTGATTACCAAAGCAGATATTACAGAAGTACTTACTGCAACAGGTTTGGAAGTTTTTAATAAACTTGGCAGTGAATAATTAGGATGATCATAAGTAGGCCTACTAGAAAATTTGATTACGAGAATCTGGAATCGACTTTTTTAAAATTTAGAATATTTTTTTTTTTAATTAAGAGATAATATTCCTGGCATTGATTAAATACATTGGCATGCATCAGAGCTTCCTAAAATAACATTATGATGGTGCATGAGAAACAACTTTCATTTTGTCGATATTAGATCACCTCAAAGTTTTCGCCCCTCTGATGACGCATTTGGCAAACTTTAAAAGAACATTGTGGCGGCAGTGGAAAACGATGTGCAGATGCTGACTAATGTTTTCGCTATCACATCCTTGGAACCAAAGTTTACTTGAACCAGCTTAAGAATGAGCTTCTTGAGCCATGCCTTCTTACATCAACTTGCGTCCGTATCAACACCAATAACAAATGACCAGTGGCGTAACGAAGCAAACTTCTTTTGGCCCTACTACTCGTTGGCTGGGTCCTGAAAAAAAACATGCGAGAGCTTGTGCCACTGCAAATAAGCCTAGAATTTCTACATTGCAGTAGGTACCGGTAGCCTAAATTTACTGAATTCCAAAAAAACCGTTGCAAAAATGTTAGCTTGCAAATCCGACAGTGTCGCCACTAACGGTGTCATCCACGTAGTAGATCATGTTATGTTTCCTATTCCTGTAAATGGCATGCTAACTTTAGTTCCAAATAATGGCAATTTCTCAACGCTACTGGTTTCGGAAGGTAACATCAGATAGATCTTTTGTAGGCTTATGGTGTTGGTTTCATCAGCAAATAATTTCTGCAAAAACATTAAATATTAAACAGTAAATAACTTTACTTCTCCTATTTTCAAGGACACTCTGTTTGCCCTACCAACGAGGCGTCCGATAAACTTTCCCGTGGAACATTTGGTAAACTACTCGGCAACAAAGACGACCTATTTAAAATTCTCTCATATCACCTGGTAAATGGAACGTTCTTTAGCGCTGAATGTTGAAAAGGCAACAACTACCATGAAAGATGACGTCTCAATTAAGGTTTCTTCTGATGGTGGTAAGTGACAAGCTAATTTAAATAAATAAAACTATACAAATGCATTACCATTAATTTACTACCTGTCTTGATGAATTTACCTAATGAATTTACTGTTGTAAAGACGGATTTCGCTAAGGTTTTAATCTGTTTGTTCGAATGGATATTATGATTTAATAGATTTCATTATGAAGAGAATATTGTCATTTCCTGTAGTTCTGTTTTGACTTAATACATGTAAACGTTTTCTACATTAAAATGTGTTTACTGTCCACATGTTTATATCGTGGTGGGA